AATAAGGTATGGGAAAAAAAGCTTAAAATTTATTTTTTAATAAAGAATTACATTTAAAATAAAAATAAAATTTAAAAATTTTAAATTATAAAATTATAATTAAAAAAAAAAAACAAAAATAAATAAATAAATAATAAATAACAATGCACACTTCAAAAAAAAAAAAAAGTACTGAATACGAATTAATTACTGAAATTAATCAACTACCGATTTCTAAACTAAAAAATTTTTTTTTGTTTTGAATCAAACAAATTTACCGAATTCAAACACACAAAATGTGTTAGATTTCAAACAAAACTAAACAAATTTTTTTTTGTTTTGCACATATCTAATCAGTACTTGTAATAAAAAGTCATCTTAAGTTGGGTCCGTCTATTAGACCCCCGATGTTTCCTGCTCGCTTTTTTGCAATCGCAATAAAGTATGGGGAAAAATAGTTTAAAAGTTTAATTTTAATAAAAAATTTAATTTAAAATTAAAATTAAATTTAAAAAAATTAAATTATAAAATTATAATAAAAAAAAAATACTACAAAAATAAATAAATAAATAATATATAACAAAGTACACTTAAAAAAAAAAAAAAAAAAAAAGTATTGAAATCGAATACGAATTACCGAAAATAATCCTGAAAAAGGAATCAAACAAATTTACCGAATCCAACTACACAAAATTTGTTACATTTCTGAACTAAACAAATTTTTTTTTGTTTTGCACATGTCTAATCAGGACTTGTAATAAAAAGTCAGCTTTAGTTGGGTCCGTCTATAAGACCCCCGACGTTTCCTGCTGGCTTTTTTGCAAACGCAATAAAGTGTGGGGAAAAAAAAGTTTCAAAGTTTAATTTTAATAAAAAATTTAATTCAAAATTAAATTTAAATAAATTAAATTATAAAGTTAAAATTTAAAAAAAAAAATACTACAAAAAAAAAATAAGTAATAAATAACAATGCACACTTTATAAAAAGAAAAAAAGTATTGAATTCGAATAAGAATTACCGAAATTAATCCCGAAAAATGAATCGAACAAATTTTACCGAATCCAACTACGTGAAATTTGTTAGATTTCGAAACTAAACAATTCTTTTTGTTTTGCACATGTCTAATAAGTACTTGTAATAAAAAGTCAGCTTTAGTTGGGTCCGTCTATAAGACCCCCGATGTTTCCTGCTCGCTTTTTTAGCAAATCGCAATAAGGTGTGGGGAAAAATGTTTAAAAAATGTAATTTAAAATTAAAATTAAATGTAAAAAAATTTAAATTATAATTAAAAAAAAAATAATACAAAAATAAATAAACAAATAATAAATAACAATGCACACTTTAAAAAAATATATATTTTTTGTTTTGCACATATCTAATCAGTATCTGTAATAAAAAAAGTCAGCTTTAGTTGGGTCTGTCTTTTAGACCCCCAATGTTTCCTCCTCGCTTTTTTGCAATCGCAATAAGGTGTGGGAAAAAAAGTTTAAAATTTATTTTTAATAAAAAATTACATTTAAAATTAAATTTAAAAAATTTTAAATTATAAAATTATAATTAAAAAAAATACAAAAATAAATAAATAATAAATAACAATGCACACTTTAAAAAAAAAAAAAAGTATTGAATTCGAATACGAATTACTGAAATTAATCTCGAAAAATGAATCGAACAAATTTACCGAATCCAACTACACAAAATTTGTTAGATTTCAAAACTAAACAAATTTGTTTTTGTTTTGCACATGTCTAATAAGTACTTGTAATAAAAAGTCAGCTTTAGTTGGGTCCGTCAATTAGACCTCCGATGTTTCTGCTGCTTTTTCGCAATAAAGTGTGGGGGGGAAAAAAAGTTTAAAAGTTTAATTTTAATAAAAAATATAATGTAAAATTAAAATTAAATTTAAAAAAATTAAATTATAAAATTATAATTAAAAAAAAAAAAAAAAAAAAAATAAAAAAATAAATAAATAATAATAATAAAAAGTCAGCTTTAGTTGGGTCTGTCTATTAGACCCCTGATCTTTCCTGCTCGCTTTTTCGCAATCGCAATAAAGTATGGGGAAAAAAAAGTTTAATTTAATAAAAAATTTAATTTAAAACTAAAATTAAATTAAAAAAAAAATTAAAATCAAATTAAAAAAATTTAAATTAAATTTAAAAAAATTAAAATTATAAAATTATAATTAAAAAAAATATATATAATAAATAATAATGCACTTTAAAAAAAAAAAAGTTCCCCGCTGCTACGTACGCATGCGCACAAAAATGTACGTGTTTGTGCAATAATTCTAGAGCCATCATTCACAGCGAACTCTAATGAGACCCTGAGACTTTTAAAGCGCCCCCTATGGACAGTTTTGGGTACCTAAGTTTGTTGCCATTTCAAGAATCGACGTGTTTGGTATCTCTTTACTTGACACAACATAATTTTTTATATTTTACCAAAAAATTGGGTATTAATTTGTGTTCACTAAGGCTCCGTTCACATACAGGCGTACCTCGGTTTATGAATTTAATTTGTTCTGCGGGACAAATTTGTCTCTATTCTATTCTTTTCTGTTCTATTCTAAACCTATTCTATTCAAATTCAAATTTGTTCTATTAAAAATTTGAATTTCGGAAGACACTTATATCCTTTCTCTGTTATTCTTTTGTTTTTTAAAGTCCATGCTATTTTTTAAATTCTATTCTTTTCTATTCTAATTTCTTCAAATTTATTCTATTCGAAATTTGAATTTTGGAAGACAATTATATTCTTTTCTATTTTATTCTGTTGTTTCTTTTTATTCCATTTTATTTTTTCCATTCTTTTCTTTAATATTCTAATCTATTCTATTCAAATGTATTTTATTTGAAATTTGGAAGACAGTCATATTCTTTCTAATTATATTCTATTGTTTTCTATTGTTTTCTATTCTATACAATTCTATTATTTTCTTTTCTATTCCATTCTATTTTTTCCATTCTTTACTATTTTATTCTAATCTATTCTATTCAAATTTATTTTATTTTAAATTTGGAAGACAGTTATTTTTTTTCTATCTAATTCTATTGTTGTTTTTTTATTATATTCTATTCGTTTCTATTCTATACAATTTTATTATTTTCTTTTCTATTCTATTCCATTCTGTTATATTCTTTTATATTGTATTCCATTCTATTATTTTCTTTTCTATTTTATTCCATTCTGTTATATTCTTTTATATTGTATTCATTGCTATTATTTTCTTTTCTATTCTATTCCATTCTGTTATATTCTTTTACATTGTATTCCATTCTATTATTTTCTTTTCTATTCCATTCCATTCTGTTATATTGTATTCTATTCTATTATTTTTTTCTTTTCTATTTTATTCCATTCTGTTATATTCTTTTATATCGTATTCTATTCTATTATTTTATTTTCTATTCTATTCCACTCTGTTATATTATTTTATATTGTATTCCATTCTATTATTTTCTTTTTTATTCTATTCCACTCTGTTATATTATTTTATATTGTATTCTATTCTATTTTATTTTCTATTCCATTCTAATATATTTTTTTATATTGTATTCTATTATTTTCTTTTCTATTCTATTCCACTCTGTTATATTCTTTTACATTGTATTCTATTATTTTATTTTCTATTCTATTCCATTCTAATATATTCTTTTATATTGTATTCTATTCTATAATTTTCTTTTCTATTCTATTCCATTCTGTTATATTCTTTTATATTGTATTCTATTCTATGCTGTTGTTTTTCTATTCTTTTCTATTCTATTCTTTTTGTATAAGAATTTAATTTGAATTCGATTCAAATTTTGTCCGAATTTTGATTCGTTATTTCCGATTCGCTAATATAATTCAGGAGTTTGGAGACATCTGAATGTCCGCATAACAAAAACTTTGTCCGAATTCCAATTTGGACCCGCACATGTCTAAAATCGACCAAACATTCTCAAAATACAACTTTTTGAAGGAGATTCTGCCAGTGTCTGGTCAGTCATGTAAAATGTGCCTTTTCTGCATTTCCGTAAGGCCGGATCCTCTTTGGGGACGCAGCGAATCGCGATCCTACGAGCCACAACCCAACCCGGAGCCGCGCATCCCGTCTCCCGCTGCGATGTAGCGCCATCACGTGACCAGGGGCGGACTGACAACTCATGGGGCCCCCAGGCAATAGGGGATCATGGGGCCCCTGTGTCCTCGCCCACACTCAAACCACAACCCAAAAAAGCCTATGAAAGGTATCAGGGGCATCTCATGGGGGACCCCTGCTGACCCCGGGCCCTCGGGCAGTGTCCGATTGGTCAGTCCGCCCCTGCACGTGACCCTTCCTGAGAGCGGTTGGTCTTCCTCGGCACGCACATCGCAGGAGCTCCTCTGAAGAAAAAACACACAAGAAGGACGTTCGTTCTGCCGTCCCGGAATAGAGCCGGGCCCAGCGAGTGCTCCGTCTCCGGGATTTATGGCCAGGGAAGTGTCGGAGGAGCGCTGGCATTTTAATCGCGGGATATTTTAAGGAAAGGGCGCGCGTTCCTCCGCCTTGTGGTCACTGAAATGAGAGGCTCTATTCTGGGCTCTCAGGGAGTTCGCAGCCAACACAAATATTTGTCCTATTTTATCTTTTTTTTTTTAAGCCTTGAATGTTCCCCATCCACTGAGGCACCGAGACAAAAAACACATCCGAGGATCCCGATCTCCGCTGCAGTCAGCAAGACGAGAAACAATCGGGAAGGAAGAAAAATGTCAACAATTCTGGTGGGTTCCTTATATGAACCCGGCCACGCCCAGAGCCCATTGGTTCCCAAGCAGAGGTGCACTATACTTCTATATTGTCCCCGCCCTCCCAATCATGTGATTCAGGTGTTCCAATCCCCTCCCAATCATGTGATTCAGGGGTTCCAATCCCCTCAATATCATGTGATTCAGGTGTTCCAATCCCCTCCCAATCATGTGATTCAGGTGTTCCAATCCCCTCCATATCATGTGATTCAGGTGTTCCAATCCCCTCCATATTATGTGATTCAGGTGTTCCAATCCCCTCCATATCATGTGATTCAGGTGTTCCAATCCCCTCCATATCATGTGATTCAGGTGTTCCAATCCCCTCCATATCATCATGTGATTCAGGTGCTCCAATCCTCTCCAAATCATGTGATTCAGGTGTTCCAATCCCCTCCATGGACACAGGTGTAAACAATCAAGCCCCTAGGCATGCAGACGGCTTCTACAAACATTGGTGAAAGAATGGGTCGCTCTCAGGAGCTCAGTGACTCCAAGCGTGGTCCCGTGATAGGTGGCCACCTGGGCAATAAGTCCATCCGTGACATTTCCTGGCTACTAAATATTCCACGCTCAACTGTTAGTGGGATTATAACAAAGTGGAAGCAACTGGGAACAACAGCCACTCAGCCACCAAGTGGTAGGCCACGTCACATGACAGAGCGGGGTCAGCACATGCTGAAGCGCACAGAAAGTCACCAACTGTCTGCAGAGTCAATAGCTAAAGACCTCCAAACTTGGTGTGGCCTTCAGATGAGCCCAACAACTGTGCGTAGAGAGCTTCATGGAATGGGTTTCCATGGCCGAGCAGCTGCATCCAAGCCTTCCATCACCAAGTGCAATGCAAAGCGTCGGATGCCGTGGTGTAAAGTACGCCGCCACTGGACTCTAGAGCAGTGGAGACGTGTTCTCTGGAGTGACCAATCACCCTTCTCTGTCTGGCAGTCCGATGGACGTGTCTGGGTTTGGCGGTTGCCAGGAGAACGGTACTTACCTGACTGCCATTAAAGGTCAGGTGTGTGCAAAGGGCGGGGCCAACTCAATATTGAACCCTATGGACTAAGACTGGGGGGGGCATTACAGGTCATGTGCGGGGAAAGGCCGGCGGCCCGATATTTGGGGCAATATAGTGTGTGTGTGTATCCTAACGGTACCTTTCTTGGATTTGGAGGGTATTTAACCCTTTTAACTGCCAGATTAATTTTTGCCTTTTTTTTTTTTTGTCATTTTTGTAAAAAAAAAAAAATCTGCATTGTTTTTTTTTGCCAGACCCTCAAACATTATATACATTTTTATAATCAGACTCCGCCTAGAGAATAAAATGCTTATTGTTGCAATTTTTTTTATGTCAATATTTTTATATTTGCGCAGCTTTTTTAAAAAAGCTGATTTTTCGGGAAAAAATACACTTTAATGAATTTTAGTGCACACAATATAATACCCAATTTTTTGGTAGAATATAAAAGCTGATGTTAAAGTTGCGTACGGCTGTGGAAATGGCGACAAACTACGGTACCTAAAAATCTCCATAGGCGATGCTTTAAAAGTCATTTCCAGGTAAGGAGTTGAGCTCTCGCTCTGCCGTTCGCAATGATACCTCAATGTGGGTCGCCGCTTACATCAGACGTTTACAGCGCTGGGAAAAAGTATTTGCCCCGGCCTGATTTTTTTTTTTTAATTTTGCGTATTTTTCACACTTAAATATTTCAAATCATCAAAGAAATGTTGATGCAATTTTTAAATAATGAGTTAATTTCTCTTTCTTTCTTCCCCTCTTTCTTTCTCTCTCTCTTTTTCTTTTTTTTCTCTTTCTGTCTTTCTTTCTCTCTTTTCTCGTTCTTTTTTTCTTTCCCTCTTTCATTGTTTCCTTCTTTGTTTGTTTCTTTCTCTCGCTCTCTTTTTCTTTCACTCTCTTCCTTTCCTTCTTTCTTCCTTCTTCTTTCTCTTCCCTCTCTCTCTTTCTTTTTCTTCCCCTCTTTCTTTCTTTTCTTCTTTGTTTCTTTCTCTCGCTCTCTTTCTTTCCCTCTTCCTTTCTTTCTCTCTCTCTCTCTCTTTTTCCTTTCTTTCTCTCTCCTTTTCTTTCCTTTCTTTCTCTCTCTTTCTTTCTTTTCTTCTTTGTTTGTTTCTCTCGCTCTCCTTTTCTTTCTCTCTTCCTTCTCTCTTTCTTTTCTTTCTCTCTCTCTTTTTCTTTCTTTCTTCCCTCTTTCTTTCTCTTTCTGTCTTTCTCTCTTTTCTCGTTCTTTCATTTTCTTCTCCTCTTTCTCTCTCTCTTCCCTCTCTCTTTTTCTTTCCCTCTTTCTTTGTTTCCTTCTTTGTTTGTTTCTTTCTCTCACTCTCTTTTTCTTTCACTCTCTTCTCTCTCTCTTTCTCTCTCTTTCTCTCTCTTTCTTTTTCTCCCCCTCTTTCTTTTCTTTTTGTTTTTTCTCTCTGTCTCTTTTTTTTTTTTCACTCTCTTTCTCTTTCTTTCTCTGTTTCTTTCTCTCTCTCTCTTCTCTCTCTTTCTTTTTTTCCCTCTTTCTTTCTTTCTCACTCTTTTTTTTCTCTTCTCTCTCTTTCTTTCCTTCTCTCTCTTTCTCTCTCTCTTTCTCTTTTTTCTTTTCTTTCTTTCTTTTTTCTTTCTTTCTTTCTCTCTTCTTTTCTTCTTTGTTTCTTTCTCTCGCTCTCTTTTCTTTCTCTCTTCCTTCTCTCTTTCTTTTCTTTCTCTCTCTTCTTTCTTCTCTCTCTTTCTCTCCTCTCTTTCTTTCTCTTTCCTTTCTTCTTTTTTTCGTTCTTTGTTTGTTTATTTTCTCTCCTCTTTTTTCTCTCTCTCCTCTCTCTCTTTCTTTCTCTTTTTCTTCCCTTTTCTTTCTTTGTTTCTTTCTCTCACTCTCTTTTTCTTTCACTCTCTTTCTTCCTTCTCTCTCTTCTCTCTCTTTCTTTTTTTCCTTCTCTTTCTTTTCTTCTTTTTTCTCTTTCTCTCTGTCTCTTTTCTTTTTTTTCTCTTTCTCTTTCTTTCTCTCTTTTCTTTCTCTCTTTCTTTTCTTTCTTTTCTCTTTCCCTCTTTCTTTTTTTCTCTCTCTTTTTCTTTCTCTCTTCCTTCTCTCTTTCTTTCCTTTCTTCTTTCTTTCTTTCTTTCTCTCTCTCTCTCTCTATTTCTTTCTCTTTCTTCTCTCTGTTTCTCTCTTTCTTTCTTCTTTGTTTGTTTCTTTCTCTCGCTCTCTTTTCTTTTCTCTTCCTTCTCTCTTTCTTTCCTTCACTCTTTCTTCCTTTCTTCTCTCTCTCTCTCTCTCTCTCTCTCTTCTTCTTCTCTCTTCTCTCTCTCTTTCTTTCTTCTTTGTTTGTTTTTCTCTCTCTCTTCTTTTTTCTATCTTCCTTCTCTCTCTTTCTCTTTCTCTCTCTTCTTCCTTTTCTTCTTTGTTTCTTTCTCTCACTCTATTTCTTTTTTTCCCTCTTTCTTTCCCTCTTCTTTCTTTCTTTCTTCCTTTCTTTCTCTCTTCTTCTCTCTTTCTTTCCTTTCTCTTTCTTTTTCTCTCTTTTTCTTTCCCTCTTTCTCTTTTCTTCTTTGTTTTTTCTTTCTCTCGCTCTCTTTTTCTTTCTCTTCCTTTCTTGCTGTCTCTTTTTCTTTCTCTTTCTTTCGCTCTCTTTTTCTTTCCTTTCTTTCTCTCTTCCTTCTCTCTTTATTTCCTTTCTTTCTCTCTCTCTCTCTCTCTCTTTCTTTTTTCTCTCTTTCTTTCCCTCTTTTTCTTCTTTGTTTGTTTCTTTCTCTCGCTCTCTTTTTCTTTCTCTCCTCCCTCTCTTTCTTTTTTTCTCTCTCTCTCTCTCTCTCTCTCTCTCTCTCTTTCTTCCCCTTTTTTCTCTCTCTTCCCTCTCTCTCTCTCTCTTTTTCTTTCCCTCTTTCTTTCTCTCTCTCTCTCCCTTCTTTCATACTAGTAATGGCGACTTATAGTTGGACTGTGTTAGTGCAGCGAGCAATCTGACGCTGAGTGGGAACTACCTGACTGAGCGTCTCGACAGCACAGGTCGGGGCAGTGGGTGCACGCCCTCTACCTGGAAATGCTGGATCACATACATGTACATGATGCAGTGCAGAGCGGCGGCCCGGCCGCAGTATATATGCGTTTGGTTGGGTGCGATATATATTTACATACAGGCGGCTTAGACTGCTCAGTCCCTGGAAGGCATCAGGAATCACACAGCCGATTCTGTTGTTGGAGATGTCCCTGGAAGAGAAGAAAGGTGGGTCAGGAATGTCTGGCGGTAGGAGAAGTACCAGAAAGGGGAAGTAGGAGGATGAAGCTTTGGCCATTTTCAGTGAGATGGAGGCTTTCCTGACTTTCCCCCCTGAACCATACCAGGCCACACATGCCCTGAACATGGGGGGTGCTTTGGAACGGGCAGGGGGGCTCCCCCCAAAGCACCTTGTCCCCATGTTGATGAGAGCAAGGTCCTCTTCTCCACAACCATGGCCGGTGGTTGTGGGGGTCTGCGGACGAGGAGCTTATCGGAATCTGGAAACCCTTTTAACAAGGGGCCCCCAGACCCCCGCCCCCCCATGTGAATAAATATGGGGTACATGGTACCGCTACCCATTCACAAAAAAAAGTGTAAAAATGACAGGAGACCGTCCCTGACAAATCCTTTATTAAAAAAAAAAAAAAGGAAAAAAAAAATCCCGGAAGAAGATCCAACATCAATCACGATGCCCGCCGCCGCTACCCGAAAAAAAGAAAAAAAAACCCGCTCCGCTCTCTACTCTGCTCCGCTCTCCACGCCGGCTGACTGCTGCGCCGGCCTGAAAGCCCTTAAATACTGTGATGACGTTACAAGGGGGTGGGGTCACCCCTGCCCCCTTGTGACGTCATCATGCACTGTGAATTGCTTTGGCCAATCCCAAGGCACTGTCTGGGCGCAGTGCATTGTGGGACACAGCGGGAACAGGGGCGGACTGACCATTTGGAAATTCAGGCACTGCACGAAGGCCCGGGGTCAGTAGGGGGCCTCATGAGATGCCCCTGGTACCTTTTTCAAGTTTGGGCAAGGACACAGGGGCGCCATGATCCCCTATTGCCTGGGGGGCCCCATGAGTTGTCAGTCCGCCCCTGGGCGGGAACACCCGTACCGTACGAACGGCCCATGTTCGAGTCGAGCAAGAAGCCCAACCCTACTGCCCGTGTTTCTGCTCATGTGTGGGCGGGACCCATGAAAGCCATTTTTTCGTCCACATTCTCGATGTTTGGCGCAGACATTGCCGGACCCGTGGGCCTGAGGCCTCGATGGACCAATTGTTGCGTGTGAAGCGTCTGATACTTACAGGCGTTTTAACTGTGAGAGTCCCAGAAAGGATCCCGGCTCCATCCGGCTGATCAGGTTGTTTTTCAGGTCTCTGGTGGAAGTAAAATGAGAAAAAAAAAGATCATTAGTGTAGGCAGGACGACGCTCACGGTGAGCAGCTCAGGACGATTTGTCAATCACATTCTATACAGGCGGGCGTTCGCCCCGTGGGCACACTCTTAGCTCAGGGTGTAAGCAGCATGGCCCTAGATTGCCCACGAGCCGGCGCAGAGTATTGCCCATCTACCCATCCTGGAGCATCGAGTCCCTGCTAGCCACAGTCGACATTTCTAGTACAGATGAGTTGTCAGTCTTTGTTCTTCCAAATGCTGGACTACTATATATGTGACAGATTTCTCTGCCAATGGTTGCTAAGGAAGCAGCAGGTACCGGCACCTGCTGCATCCTTAGCAACCAATGATACAACCCAGCCCCATTCATTTGCTTGCAGGAAATCCTATATATGGCCATGTCCATATGTGTTCAGTTACATCGCTGTGTATACCAGGGGT